ATGTGAAGGATGTGTGTGGCCAAACTAAGGATGATGGGAAGGAGGAGGGTGGAGTTGAGAGTTGTCAAAAGAAAGAGTCCTCCAACCACTTTGGTGAAACCACGACTGCACTTAACTGCTAAAACATGGTAGGGCTGCCAAGGGTAGTCAGTAGATGGGGGTTCTAGACTCCATTATTTTATCTGTGCGTCGAATAGGAATTATATTCTCTAGAATTGTGAGTTGCTGTCTACCCATTTCAATTGACTTGTTTAGTCAAAGAACTTCAAATTTTGTTTTTGATGAGATTCATCCAATGATCTCAATACTAGTCCTGTATCTTTCTGAGACCACAGCACATTCTCAAGAACTTCAGAAAAAAAAAGAAATTCTTAAAGATTTGAATTTTATTTATGCTTTTAAAAAGTTGTAGGTAAATAGTAAATATCTATATCTAAGCCACAGCATGAAGATTGTTATTAATGTTGAAATTTGTAAATGCTTGCTGAGAGAGTAGAAGAGTAGATTCTGGGTGTTCTGGACACACATCGACACACGCACACACATCCGCACATGGTAACTATAAAATGGTAGGTGTGTGTGATAATGAATCATTTAAATATGTATAAGTTGTTCTGTGATATTTTGATTGTGTTCTGACAAATAAATCTTGCTTGGAGTCAGGGGGTGGAGCTAGCCACTAGCCGACCAAAATTAACCACAGAGGTTTGGAGGACATAGACAGGAGACAGGAAGTAGTGAGGTGGGGCTGAGACAATGAGTTCAATACCCAAGGACCCAAGTTAAGAGTCTCTGACCTCTACATTTTACCATTGCCCCTCTCTCTCCCTCTCTCTCTCTCTCTCTCTCTCTCTCTCTCTCTCTCACACACACACACACACACACACACATACAGACACAATCACATAGTTAATCATTTAAAATTTAATTTAATTTAAAAAAGAAAAGATGTCAGTACCATGGCAGTCCTTTTCTGAATGGAGAAGGAAAAGAGAGGAGAGAGGTGGTGAACTGTTTGCAGAGCTAGAGGGATTGCTCAGTGGTTAAGGACACTTGCTGCTCTTTTAGAGGACCTGAGGTTGGTTCCCAGCAGTTACACTGGGTGATTCACTACCACCTGTAATTCCAGCGTCAGAGCACGCAACACCTACGGCCTCTGATTTATTTATTATAAACATATATGCTTCCACGATCAAGTATGTGTCCACATGTGAATGAATATATATATATATAATAAAGTAAATAAATAAATATTTATTTATTTTCTAAATAAGCCTCGTGTGTGTGTGTGTGAGAAAAATTTATTTGGAAAATAAAGTCACATATTTAGCCACATTATTTCGTCAGTCTGCTTCCGCTTAAGTTGTTGTAATTATATTATTTTTATTTCCTTAACTTTCACCATTTAATATTTTCAACAATATGTTGTCAGGCAACTAAACCATCTTTCTCCTTAGTATTCTGCCACCAGTACATACTGTATCACAGGGCTGGTTAGGAGGCTCAGTGAGTGGGTCTAAGATACTGGCCACCAAGCCTAATGACTTGTTGACCCCGCACCCACGTGATGGAAGGAGAGAACTGATTCCCAAAATATGTCCTCTGACTTCCAAGTGTGCCCTGTGGCACACTAAATAAGTGTAACTTTAAAATGTGCAAGAGGAACTAGCAGTATGACTCCATTGGTAGAGTGCTGGCCTAGCACGTACAATGCCCTGGCTTTGAACCCCAGCACCACACCAACCCGGCACGGTAGAATATGCTTGTAACTTGGGAGGTCATCTGAAGTGTTATCAAGGTCATCCCTGGCGAAGACCTTGTATCAAGAAAGAAAGGAAGGAAGGAAGGAAGGAAGGAAGAAGGAAGAAAGAAGGAAGGAAGGTAAAAAAGCAAGCCTGACATAGTGGTGCATACTTTTTATCCCAGTCCCTGAAAGACAGAAGGCTAGCCTGGTCTACATGATGAGATCTAGACCAACCAGAGCTAAACAGTGAGACCTGTCTAAACAAATTAAAAAGGAAAGAAGAAAGGGATGGAGGAAGAAAGGAAGGAAAACAAACAATACAAGAACAGGCTAAGGAGACAGAACAGAGAGTTCTCAAAAGAAGATCCGTGATTGGATAATATGTTTAAGGAGGGCAACATCATTAGCCATGAAAGAGATGTAATTTAAATATTTATTTATTTATTTATTATACAATATTATGTCAGTGTATATGCCTGCAGGCCAGAAGAGGGCACCAGCTCCCATTACAGATGGTTGTGAGCCACCATGTGGTTGCTGGGAATTGAACTCAGGCCTTTGGAAGAGCAGACAATGCTCTTAACCTCTGAGCCATCTCTCCAGCCCAAGAGATGTAATTTAAAACTGCTATAATTGAACCTGCTGTGAGAGTCCATCTCCAGTGCAAACGGCTATCCTTAAGAAAACAACAACACATTCTGAATAGGGCATGGGCAAGGAGAAACATTAATTCATGGCTGGTATGAGTGTAACTGGTGCAGCCATTATGGAGATCAGTGTGGAGGATTATCAAAACCTAAATTACCATCTGTCTCAGCTATACTGTTTCTGGGCACAGACCTAAAAGCACTCAATCCTGCAGCAGAATACCTGTGCGTTCATGTGCACTGCGGCTCTATTCATAAGAGCGGGGAAACAGAATCACCATAGATGCCCATCAGCGGTTGAATGAGAATAAAAATGTGGTGCATATACACAATGGAATTTTAATCACCCCTAAAGAAAGAATATGCAGTTAGCAGGAGAACATACGGGACTGTAGGTAGTCTATTAAGTAATGCAGTCTCAGAAAGACAAACACCATATACTGTCACACAAATGTGGATCTTGGCTTCTAGGGGTTTTTGTTTTACATTATTTTGTGTGCATGTGTATGTGTGTGGATACAAAGCAACCACCCTGCGCTTTAGTCCCTGCCCAACTGCTTATGTGTGACCTTGCTACATCCGTGAGAAACCCTCCATTGCTCAACAATGGGGGGTGGGGTGGGGCTGTTTCCACCAAGGGTCTCCAGGAGTCCTGGTTTTTTTGAACTGAGATGTTTGGCTGAGTTGGCTAGCATCATTACGAGCGAAGAAAAGTCAATGTCCCATCTCTTTGCTCAGAATCCCACAGCACTAAGGGGGAACATATTACTGTTATTTTGCTAAGTTAACATGTGCTCAAACTGCCTTCCTATCTGTTTAGAGCAGTAGACTCCGTCACTCTCAGCCTTTGTCAGAGAAGCTTGCTTTCTGCAGGGCTTCATGTGGAAGCTCCAAGGACCAGTGCTAAGAAAAGGTAACTGCTAAGTACTCAGCCCGAATCCTAGAACCCCCGACACCCACAGTCTTCTGCTCATGGAACGACCACTGCGCTCATAAAATCCCAGTAGCTTCACAAGGTAGGGCCCTGTCACGATTTCACTACGGGTAGGGAACGGCGCATGAGGCCCTACCCTTCCTTGAGGAAGGCGAATTGGCAATTAACGGTTGCAGTGCTAAGGGCTGCAATTTTTTTTTTTTCAGTGATGTAGTCACTGTTAAGTTGTCCATGCTCTGAACCCAGTCCTTTTTGTTGATTGGGTTCCCTCAATCCGGGTCCTATTTGCACTTTGAGGGCTATTGGTGATTTACCCCCACGGCTTCTGCACCCCACACTACATTCCATCTTTTAGAGAAAGTTTACTCCCCAAGAAGTATGACCTAGGATGGTTTGAACGAGACTTGTCCCCCATCATCTGGGGGGATCTGAACACTTGGTTTCCAGTTGGTGTGGTATTTGGGAAGGCTTAGGGGGGGTAAGCTTTGCTGGAGGAAGTACGTCACTGGGGGCGGGCTTTATGAGTAAAAAGTAAAGCAGCTTTCTAGGCATTCCCTCTCTCTGTGCTTGGCGATTCTGGTAAGGAATGTGAGCTCTCTGTCCTGTGTTCTAGTCGCTAGCCTGCTGCTTGCTGCCATTTCTCTTCTCTGCCATCATGAACTCTTAACCCTGTGAAGCCCTCAGGCCAAAACAGGAGACTCGCCTTCTTCCTTAAAAGTAACTCATCAATGATCTAATCCCAAATTTTTTTAAAGATCTATGTTCTATTGCAAATCATTTTTTTTTTTTTTAAAGCAAATGTAGGGTCAGTGAAATGGCTCAGTGGGTAAAGACACTTGTTGCTAAGCCTGAGTTGGATGTATCCCTACAACCACACAACGGAAGGAAAGAATCTTTCCCACAAGTTGTCTTGTCATCTCTCCAGTGCGCCATGGAACAAACATGCCCACGTAGACGCACGCGCACACACACACAGCGAGCGAGCGAGGAGGAGGGAGACTCTGTTACAGTCTATATCCTAGAGTTTGGAGACCCTACGCTTCCTTCCACTTACTCCAGGGTTTCATCTACCAGCTCCTATCCCTCGTTCTCCACTTTTTAGTGTCTGCTCTTCAACCTGTCTAAACTCAGTTCTCGGGTACCGACTCTGCCCGGGGGCTTCATTTTCCTCCTGGAAGAAGCCCCGCAGCTCCAGCAGCGCACGGTCCTCCTAGTCTCCTACCCGGGCTCTGGAATCTCCTAAAGCCACCAGGGAGCGGAGTCGGAGTGGCGAACCACCAGAAGTGCAGCAGCATACAGCAGGCCTGAGCTAGCGAGGTGCTGTTTTTTTCTGGAAGTTTCTTAGATCTTATGCACGTTCGCTCTGCACCCAACGGCTCAAAGGCAACGCTCTCAAATCCCCATATGCGCGGTGGTTTCCACTCTTAGCCACGAAAATGAGCAGGTTTTCTGTTTGTTTGTTTTTGTTTTTAAGAAATAACGTAAATCTTTGAGGAAAGCAAATGACAGACCTAGTGCACGGCTTCCCTCAAACACTGGCTCTCGGCGTCGCGGTCTGCTTTCCTGGCCTTAAAGCGGGCGGGCTCCAAGGGCCTGATTCACAAGCAAGAGGTGGGCCCCAACAAAAGGCCTTTACCACTTTAAGACTGCAGGGCCCGGCGGCATCTCCCTGAACCGATGCTATTCTCGCGAGAGCCGCCGAAGGGGTAGCAATGGCGGCCACTGGGGCAGGTCCTGGCCCTGGAGTGGGCTCCGGTCCTGGTCCTGGAACGGCTGCAAGCGCCACCACGGCAGAGGAGGGAGAGACGGAGCCGGTGGCTGCCGCGGCTGGAGAGGGGCCGCCTGCTGCTCCGGGAGCGGAGCCCAGCTCCGGAGAGGCTGAGAGTGGGTAAGGCATCTGCAGCCCGCGAGAGCGCGAGACGAAGGGCCTGCCCCTCGTGCCATCCCGGGGCTCGCGCCGCTCCTGTGCGGCCCTCCCGACCCAGGCCCTGCGGCCAACGGCTCGGCCTGCGCTGTGCCCTCTGCAGCCCCGCAGGCTGCTTGGCTCGGAACTGCGCCTCAGACCTCGTTTCCTTTAGCGCCCGTGTGAGCCAAGCAAGTTTCCCTCGCTCCCGCCCTTGCCATCCTCCTGCCTCTCCTAATCCTAGTTCCTGAAATAGCGCAGGAAGGGCATCTCCCGTCGGTGCCGGTGTGGAAGGAGTCACAATCCTTCTGAAAGCCCCAAGAAACGCAGATCCCTGTGACTCTTCCCCCTCCAGGACCATCTCTAAGCCGTGTAGATGGCTGTAACGACCCATTAGGCTTCACTGTGTTTGTCTTGACTATATCCTTTCTAATGTTCGGATTGTTTTCCCTGGGCATCCAGTCCAGGACAGGCTTAGACTGGGAAGTCCATCCGTATTTGCTTCCACGGTTTTTGTTTGTTGTTTGGTTTCGGAGTAGGTATTTTGAAGTTTGTTTATCTTGAAAACTCTTACTTTCTTGACAGGGATGCAAACTTGGTTGATGTAAGTGGTCTGGAGACAGAATCTTCTAATGGGAAAGATACTCTAGTAAGTATCATCTTACGCCTTTGAAAGGCAAACTAGATTTTGTTTTAAGATTTTTAATCTAATTTTTAAAAATGTAGTCAGCTTTGATTGTCTTCTTGCCCCGTGCCTCCAGGAAGGTGCTGGCGATACTTCAGAAGCGATGGATACCCAGGTGGGCTCTGTGGATGAAGAGAATGGCCGACAACTGGGAGAGGTGGAGTTGCAGTGTGGACTATGTACAAAATGGTTTACCGCTGACACCTTCGGAATAGACACATCGTGAGTACATTTCATGGTTTTTTTGGTTGTTTTTTTTTTTTTTAAGATTTATTTATGTATACACTGTTCTGCCTGCATGTATGGCAACAAGCCAGAAGAGGGCACCAGATCTCATTTTAGATGGTCGTGAGCCACCATCTGATTACTGGGAATTGAACTCAGGACCTCTGGAAGGGCACTGGCTCCTCTTCCAGAGAATGGGGTTTGATTTCCAGCATCCATGTGGCAGCTCACAGTGGTCAGGGAACTCCAGCTATGGGGGATCCGCTACCCTCTCCTGACTTGTTTGGTTTTGTTTTGTTTGTTTTTTCGAGACAGGGTTTCTCTGTATTGCTTTGGAACCTGTCCTGGAACTCACTCTGTAGACCAGGCAAAATAATTGGAAGGGTTGGCATGGGAGTCTAGGAGGGAGGGAAGAAAGGGAAATTATGTAATCATATTATAATCTCAAAAAATCGAAAGACATTTTTAAAAAGACCAAAGGAAAAGAACTTTCTTTGGCATATTCAACAGTTGCTTCAGTTTGTTTTTGTTTTTTTTTTTTTTTTTTTGTTTTTGTTTTTGTTTTTGTTTTTCGAGACAGGGTTTCTCTGTGGTTTTGGAGCCTGTCTTGGAACTCACTCTGTAGACCAGGCTGGCCTCGAACTCACAGAGATCCGCCTGACTCTGCCTCCCGAGTGCTGGGATTATAGGCGTGCGCCACCACCGCCCGGCTAGTTGCTTCAGTTTGTAGATCGGTGGGTAGTCTATTGTGCTCATCCTAACCCCTGTTCAGTGACCTGATGCTGACTGAAGAGTTACTGCCATTTAGTGTGTGTTTAAGTACTGAGAACAGCGCCCTATTAGGCATGCCCTTGCTTTTAAACTTAAAGTGATTGGGAAATAAGACTATATAACTAGAAGAGATTATATAATTAGATCTGAGACAAATTTTTAATTTATATTTAAGTTTATATTTTGGGTTTGATATTTACAGTGGTAAAGCCCGTTGTCACAAAAATCTGAAGGTGTAGCATATAGTCCAGTAGTAGTATACTCGGCCACTGTGTGCAGAACCCTGGATGGATCACCATCATCAGAAAGACTTTTTTTTTAATTTCTCAAGAACACTGAGCTAATCTTTGTGTTATTTTCATGCCTAAAGTATACTTTGTTTCCTTTCTAATTGCTTATAATCTATCCCTATATAAGTATCTTATGCTCTGTCAGTAAAAAAAAACAACTTGTGCCTAAACACGTATTTAGTCAAAGCATCTATTCTGGAGAAATAGAATCACATTATGACTCAGATTGAGTCTCCTCTTCTATGGACTAGCTCAGTAGCTAGAAGGTGAGCGTTTTTGATTCAGTGTGAGTAGCTCTTATGATGGCTCTCTAAGTGGGTAGCCCTGGCTGGTCTGGAACACCCATTGTAGAAATCTGGGGCTGGAGAGATAGATAGCTCGATGGTTAAGCATTGTCTGCTCTTCCAGAAGACCTGGATTCAGTTCTCAGCACCCACGTGGCAGTTCACAACTGTCTGTAACTCCTGTAAAATCTCACCATCACACATACATGCAGCAAAACACCAGTGTATACAAAATAAAATAAACGGTTAAAAAATTGCAGAAATTATCCTGCCTTTCAATCAGTCTTTATGGTTAAATTTTGAGGCCAGGCTGGCTGGATATTGAACATCAGGCTAGGCAGGGCAGTACCACAAGACCTTGAAAGGAAAAAAACATGTATATTGAGTTTAGCTAGTGGTGCATACCTGTAATTCAGGTACTTAGGAAGCTAAGGTAGGAGGATCACAAGTTCAGTCAGTACAGGCTAAAGCTAATTGTAAATCAGGACCCTGTCGCAGAAAAAGCCAGAGTGGGTTAGTGAGATAGCTCAGTGGGCAAGCCTGGCCACCTGAGTTTGATCCCTGCAACCTTTATGAAGTTGGAAGGAGAGAACTGAGCTACAGGTTGGCCTCCCACTTCCATGTGTGTATCTTGGCAAGTGTGCCATACATGTATCATGTATACACACAACAACAATAATAATAAATAAACTTTTTAAAGGAAGAAAACATGCTTAGGAATATGTTCAGGAGTTCACTAATTTTGTGTAATTTGGTTTATCCACAGATCATGTCTACCTTTTATGACCAACTACAGTTTCCATTGCAATGTGTGCCATCACAGTGGGAATACCTACTTTCTCCGGAAGCAAGCAAGTAAGAATAACTCTGGAATATTTTTAAAAGATTGTCCCTTGGAAAACAAAAGGGATCTGGGTTAGCACACTTAGATTACCTTTGTTAAGAACTGACTAGAATTAGCTTGGTATTTCGCTCTGAATAATTGCAGTTGCCCATTTCAAGCCAAATTATTACTTTTGACTGTTCCTGTTATTATTTTGTAGACCACTATCTTGGTTTCTCTACCTGGTAAGGGAAAAGGTTTCGGGGGTGTGGGGGTGGGGAGCGTCACAGTCCATGACTGAAGACACAGCAGCAGACATTTGAGGGAGCTGACCAGGTTGACCCCATAATTAGAAACACAGAACAGCGTGTTTCAGCTCTGCTTGCTTTTTCTAGTATACAGTTCAGGATCCCCTGCCCAGGACATAGTACTGCCCATAGTGGGCAAGCCTTCTGAAGTCTCCAGAGTCAAGATAACCCCACAGGCAGCCTGATGTAGCTCATCCCTCAAGAGTCAAGTTGTGTCAAGTTGAAACTAACCATCACACCTACTGTGTTGAATATGCTCTTATTGATAGAAATAGAGTTTTACAGATACATCTCCCCCCTCTTTTTTTTTTGATAGATTTAAAAGAAATGTGCCTTAGTGCTTTGGCGAACCTAACATGGCAGTCTCGAACCCAGGATGAGCATCCAAAAACCATGTTCTCCAAAGATAAGGTAGAGTTAGAATTAATGTAATTGCAGTATGCTACAGAATCAAGTGAAACGTCTAGATTTCTTCTTTAACAAGTATAATAGTCTCCTCGGTTTTTATGAGTAAATCATCTAGTAGCTACCTTGTTTATTCCATATATGGAAATAATAATTTACCAGTTTCCTAGTTGGTGTCATTTGGCTTAGCTGTTAGTATTATAAATTCTTAAGTAAACTTGGTTGGCTTTTTGAAAGCAAGTAAGTCATCTATCCCATAATCAAGTCTGCTGTGAACTAGTCTCTATATAGCCTTGGCTGGCCTGGAACTCGGTGTCTTCAAACTCAGTCTTACTGTTTCTGCCTCCCTGCCTCTTTCCCTAGCAGGAGCACAGAACTGGCTGCCTAGTTTCTGACCTGCAGGGAAAAATTGCTAACTGGGTAGGTGAGGGCCATTATGGGCAGCAGGCCAAAAACTGCAGGCAAAGATGAGATGAGAGCCACCAAGATACACTGCTGTGCTATGATTTTATCATTGTTGTAGCGTGGGTCTCGCGAGTGAAAAGTGCACTGTAAAACACATTGTATTATAGGGCAGTGGTTCACAGCTTGTGCTTACCTTGTCTTTATTATTCTGTCTTGTGTTTGACTTAATCTCACATTTCTTTCATTTACCCTAGAAGCAATAATACAAACTATTATGGTTCACCAGATTTCTGACATTTGATTGTCAAACTTCTGACCAGGATAATTTTGTCACCTTGATAGCCCAAACCTTTGGCATGTCCCCATGAGCTTCTGAACTCCTTGTTTTCGGAATGACAGAGTAGTCTAAGCTTTCCCTACACTGTCCCCGATTTCCTTTTCTGTTTGGTGAATACTTAATTTTCATGAGATTGGCTGTATAGTAGAGGGTTCTGTGAGATGGTCTAAAACGGTGATGCCAGAGAATCAAGGTCAGACATCGATTTTGTCCTGTGAGCAGCAGCTGGCAAGCCGGTCACCGCCCGAGTAGATGGAGAGGAGTGACAGGCGAGGTTTCTGACTTTCAAATTCCTGTAATGACTGGTTATAAAGTAACAGACGCGTTAAGGGTATCTATAGTTTATGATTCTGAGTGGTCAGTAATTGTAAATAAGAGAAAAAATAGACCTCTGCAAAGCAAGCTTAGAAGGTGCAGAACCCACGCGCTGCCTTTGAGCCCCCAGCGCTCCTCCTCATGGCGTCGGGGGGTTAAGCTGCAGCGCCATAGCAGTTGCTAGCACATAACTGGGGCCGCCTGCCCATCGCGGATGGTCCTTTTAACTGCTAACTACAGGCCTGGATGTGGGGGAAGAAGGTACAGAACTCTATCTTAATTATAAAAAAGACACGGTTTGCACAGTGTCAGGAAGTCTCAGGACAGAAGTCACCTACCGTTCAGTTGACAACCAAGGGATGGGAGTATAACTTATCCTTAAGTGGACTGTCAGCCCTGAGTAGCTAAAAATCTGTATAGACTTACTTGAAATGCTCCAAATCTATATATTTGGTTGGTGGTTTGTTGTTTGACCTGAGACTCACAGCCACCTCCTGCCTAAGCCAAGTGCTGAGACTGAGCCATGAACTTAAAAGCTACAAGTGGGTTTTTGTTTTGATTGTAATGATGGCTTTAAAAGGGGCTGTGTGTATAACTTTGAAAACAATTATAATTCTTAATGTATTTTACTTCTTACAAATAGGATATTATACCATTTATTGATAAATACTGGGAGTGTATGACAACTAGACAGCGGCCTGGGAAAATGACTTGGCCTAATAACATTGTCAAAACAATGGTAAGTACATTAAAAACTACTAGAGGATCAGTATTATTTTTAACAGTTAAATTCTATTTATTTTGAAATAATGTGATAGCTGAGAAAAATGCAAACTATTTGATATTAATCATTGAATGAGATACAGGTCATTAAATTTTGATTTTTTTCTGTACAAATTCAGTTAATAACATAATGCCTTATGTGAATAGTAGTCCCCAAAACTGCTTTGATGTGCTGAAACCCTTAACTGCTGTTGCTGGTTTGGGGGTTTTAGGTTTTGTTTTGTTTTTGCTTGCTTGTTATTGGTTTTTGTTGTTGTTTTGTATGTACTTTATATGTATGTGTGTGTGTACCATGTGTATCCAGTGCCGATGAAGGCTAGTAAAGGGCCATTGGGATCCCCAGGAATTAAGTTACAGGTGATTTTGAGCCACCTAATACTGATGGTGGAAAGTAACCTGGGTCCTTTGGAAAAGCAGCAAGTGCTTTTAAGTGCTGAGCCGAGCCCTCTTGCAATTTGATTTTATACTAAACTTGAAGACCAATTTTTTTTTCAAATTTTCATTTTTGATTATATAAAGTCTTGCTCTGGACATAGAAGTAATGAGATCACTTCGTGAGAGGACAGCAGAGGGTTCTGAAGCACGGCTCTTGTTTTTCTGTTTGTTTTTCTTATACTAGGCCTCGAACTGAGCATGTAGACAAAGGGGACTGAACTTCTGGCTTCCCCTCCGTCCAGAGTGCCAGTTACAGTTGTCTGCCTCCTCACCTCTGGCACTTTACCTCGTGTTCGTGCTAGGGATCTGCCAGGTCTTCATGCATTCTAGGCAAGAACTCTCAACAGAACTACTTCCAGGAGCCTAATGTGGGCACTTGAAAAGTACCTCTTCATCTGGGCGGTGGTGGCACACGCCTTTACTCGGGAGGCAGAGGCAGGCAGGTGGATATCTGTGAGTTCAAGGCCAGCCTGGTCAGCCAGGGCTGTTACACAGAGAAACCTGTCTTACAAACAAAAAACAGACAACAAAAATGTACCTCTTCCATTTGAGTTTTTATGGTCTTATAGTAATTTTTTTTTCTTTTTTTGGTTGGTTGTTTTTTTGTTTTTGAGAGAGGATTTCTCTTTGTAGTCTTGGGTGTCCTGAAACTCACTTTGTAGACCAAGGTGGCCTCAATTCACAGAGATCCTCCTGCCCTTGCCTCCTGAGGGCTGGGATTAGAGGTGTGGGCTGCCACCGCCTGGCACAGTTTTATAATAAGAGGAACCGCAGGGTTTTGGAGAGCACAATTAGGAACTGACATTTGGAGTTGATGACTGAACATCCTCTGTACTTCTGAGGGGGAAAAATGTTCATTATTACTAAGATACTGTGTTGTTTTAGAGTAAGGAGAGAGATGTGTTCTTGGTAAAGGAGCACCCGGACCCAGGGAGCAAAGACCCAGAAGAAGATTATCCCAAATTTGGACTTTTGGATCAGGTACATTAATCATCCTTCCTACATATTCTCTCTCTGTCTCTGTCTCTCTCTCTCATTCTCTCTTTGTGTTCATGAGGTATGTGCACTATGTGTAGTACCTGCAGAGGCCAGAAGAGGGAGTTGGAGCAGCACCCCTGAAACTTGAGTTACAGACAGCTGTAAGCTGCCACGTGGGTATTGAGAACTGAACCTGGTCCGCTGGGAGAGTAGCAAATGCCCTTAACCACTAAGCCATCTATCTCTTCGGCCTTGTGTTCTTTTTCTGTCAGAAGCCATGTAGGGTAGTGAAGCAGGTTTGTTCACAATGGGCTGGAGATGTGGCTGAGTTGATAGTGTTTGCCTAGCAGCACTGTATGACCTGGGATCGTGATGTACTCATGACCGTGCAGTAAAGAGGAACAAACAGAGAATCATGAGTTTGAGGCCGTGTCCAAAAAAAAACCAAAAAAAACAACAAAAAACAAAGGAGGAGTGTTGTATGAGGAGAGCGGGTCCTTTGTTGTCCCAGCCACCCGGCTAGCTTACAGCCGAAATAATCACACAGAAATTGTATTATTTAAATCACTGTCTGGCCCATAAGCTCTATCCTCTTATTGGCTAACTCTCACATCTTGATTTAACCCATTTCTATTAATCTGTATGTCACCACGAGGTCGTGGATTACCAGGAAAGATTCAGCATGTCTGACCTGGCAGCTCCATGGCGGGCTCTGTCTTACTCTGCTTTCTTCCTTCCAGAATTTAGTTCTGTCTTCTCCGCCTACCTAAGTTCTGCCCTATCAGGCCAAGCAGGTTCTTTATTGATTAACCAATGAAAGCAACACATAAACAGAAGAGCCTCCGACACCAGAGGAGAGGCTGGGGAGATGACTCCATGCATACATTTTTGTTGTGCAAGCCTGAGAGCCTGAGCTCATATCCCCAGTTCCCTAGCACCACATAGAAGCCAGGAGCCCAGCACTGTGGGGCAGGGACAGGCAGACCTGGAGCTTCCTGACCAGTCAGCCTAAATGGCAGGCTCCAGGTTCAGTGAGAGATAGTCTCAAAAAATAGTTAGAGCCAGTGAGATGAGTAGGCTGGTAAAAATTGCTTGCTTATGCATGCCTGATGACCTGAATTTGATCTCTGAGGCCTAGTGGAAGGAGAGAGCCAGTTTGCAACGTTGTCCCGTTTTTCTTTTTGTTTTTAAAGACAGAGGTTATCCCTGTCTGTTCTAGAACTCAATGGGCTGGCCTCAAATTCACCAATCCTCCTGCCTCTGCCTCCCGGTTGCTGGAATTAAGGGTGTGTATCACCACAGCCTGGCCCTGCAGAGTTGACCTTTAACCTCTACATCTTCACTTGTTCTCACCCACATACAAAAAAGGCCGACTGATAGAGGAAGACACTATTTCTGAAGAGACTATTTCTGGTCTCTACAGAAGTGTGCTTGGTTATGTGCAAGCCCCTCCCTCCCAACACATACATGTACACACACATGCACACAAGATTGTTTGCATCTGTCAGACACACTGCTATTCTGTAACAAGATCTCACTGTAGCCCAGATTAGCTTATACCCACGACAGCTGTTACTGCCTCAGCCTCCCACTTGCTAGGGCCACATTGATTCTAGTTGTTCCTTAGTGTTAGGGCTTAGTTTTTATAAGTTTTTTCTTTTCTTTTTTTTTTTAATTAAACATTTTTAAATACAATCTTATTTTACATAGTTATCCCCATTCCACTCCCTCCCCTCCTCATGTTCCACTCTTCCCTCCACCTCACCCACTGTCCACTCCTCAGAAAGAGTAAAATTTCCATGGGAATCAACAAAGTCTGACCAAGGCCCTCCCCCTGTATTCTGTTATCTGAAATTTTGCTCCTATAAAAACATTCTTTGGGGATGGAGAGATGGCTCAGAGGTTAAGAGCATTGCCTGCCCTTCCCAAAGGTCCTGAGTTCAATTCCCAGCAACCACATGGTGGCTCACAACCATCTGTAATGAGGTCTGGTGCCCTCTTCTGGCTTGCAGAATACACACAGAATATTGTATACATAATAAATAAATAAATATTTTTTAAAAAAACATTCTTTGTGGTGGAGGAAATTTTGAAGAATATGTGTTGATAGAACCTTTTGGGAAAAAGAAATTTCCTTTTTTTTTTGTTGTTGTTGTTGCATGTCAGAGGACTCATTGGCAACTAAAAAGGCTTTCAGATTTGTCTTAAAATGCTTGATTTGCTAACTTTTTCCGAGATGAGATCTGTCAGTGTGGCATAGACTCAAATTCTGTCCTCAGCCTCCTCCTCCCAGCCACTAAGGCTGAAGCTGATTGCTGACTGTGAAGATCTGAAGAGCTGGCCATCTCGGTGGCCACTGGAAATGAGATTTCTGTCTCATAAATGGAAAGATACAGCTTTGTGGGCCAGAATTCTTGGAGAGCAGAGTGAGGGTACCTAAGCACGCTGGCCTGCTGGGTGGCTCTCCCTCCTCCACCTGCTTGCTTGGCTGATTGCATCCTGGAGTCATCCTGACCCTAGTTCTTGACCTGCGGCACTCATGCTCCTTCATGAGTTCATGAAGTGTCCACCCGGGGACCTTTTCATTTTCTATGCTCTACTTTTGTCTGTTTTTTGTTTGCTTGTTTTTGAGCAATTATCAGATTAATTTGTTCCTGTGGCCTTTTTTTTACTAGGATGTTTCTTCTTCTAGGATCTCAGTAACATTGGCCCTGCTTATGACAACCAAAAACAAAGCAGCGCTGTGTCTGCTAGTGGGAACCTAAATGGTATGTGCTTAAATATCCTGTCCAAAGATTTGTGAATTCTGACATCCTTGCCTAGAATTGGTGTTCTGTAGGATGGCCCAGCCCTGAGTGATTGCTAAGATGCTTTTACGTTGAGATTCCAGCAGCTAGCAGACACTGGGATGACAGTGGGCGAGCGCTCTTGTCACTTCGCAGCAGTTTGGTGTCATTGGCAGTGCTGTCTGCTCATCAGTTAGACACATCAGTGGGATGTATTGGGACTCTTAAGTCTGTGAGCCGTAGTGATGTCCATCCACCCAGCTACACTTTCTGTGATGTTAGAGCCCACATCTGTATCATAATAAACACTTGTGGGGAATTGATTTGCTCTCAACCCTTTTCCATAGCTCAGCTGTCACTTGGTAAGCTGCTTTTCTCCGTGAATTTCAGCTTAATTCTTATGATGAATTTCTGTCTGGATTACCTACTATGGCATCCCCCCATAATCCCTCTAATTAATAGAGGAAATTCTCTTTGCTGCTAATCTAATGAGAACTGGCAGGCTGGGGGAGGGGGTGAGCGAGGAGGCAGTTTAGTGGCTATCCATCCCACACATGGCATCATTCATTAACTTGTCTGTTAGAATGGGAGCATTTTAAATACATAAATCTTGTCCAGTTAACATTCTAAGGTGTGTTGGAAATACAAGTGTATTATCTTACACCTTGCTTTCCCGTTGTAACTGTTGATGTTTGACAAAACATAGTGCCACTTCTGTTCTTACAGGTGGAGCCACTTTGGGAGGTGAATTCCTCTCTGTCTTCTTTCAGCCTCAGACTTAAGTATCTTGTGGTTTGAAGTGCTTTTTGCTGAGCTTTCGTAGAAGCTAAATAATTTTAAAGCATTGTGAAAGTGGTGTGACGGCACTTACTATGGAGCTATAGTTCCAGTTTAATGGTGGGAATAAAAGCTTGATGTTGTCATATTCTGCCTGACATAGCAGCCAGCAGTCCTCTTCAGTGTTGCTTACTCTGTTGAAGCAGCCCCTAAATGGTAGTAGAGGATTTGGCAGGTTTTTAATTGATAGTTATGTCATCACAACTGTTTAGCATTAAACCTTTTATGAGCTGAGTGGATAACAGCCAGGTTCATAAAAGGACATTCTGCATTAATCTGGTACTGTGTGTGCAGAATATGACCTGCCCTTCGTGTCTTTATTCTTTTTATTGCAGCAGAAATGCTGATAATTTTCAAGCTTGTCCCAAATTTACATATAGTACTCTATGCAGTTGTTTACATAAAGGTGTTTTCCTGCAGTTGAGGAACATTTTCTGGAAAGAGAAAAACAAACTTGAGAAATGGACAAAAATTATAACAAAACACATAAGGTAATATAATATTGCTTGTGACCTGACTATATAGTAAGTTCTAATATAAAATATATAAATTGTTGTATTTGCCCTTAATTCTACAAACCAGGTTCATGTAACATACTGAATTCATTGGCACAGTCTTAAGTGTATTGATGTGGAACCAAAAACTGCTTACTAAATTTAAAGCCTCCGTTCTTGAATCATATAACTATGAAGAATTTTCAAACACTGGAGAGAAACACCTTTTTAGTATTTCTGTTTTAGTTTTTTGTTTGGTGTACTTTTGTCTTGTATATTCAAGCGCTTTAAGTAGATAATGCCTTTATATGTTTATGAAATATATTACGCAGTGCAAGCAAGTGGACATTGACCTATGATAAGGACATTTACATCAATGTTTGTATTAAGTGGTGAACACAATCCATGCAATTGTTTTCATTCTTTTTTAGCTGTGGGTGCTTGGAATCTGAATACAAATGCATTTGTGTTACAACCCCATGAAGTGCTGTTGTTTACAGTCCATTAAGAAAGGGCTGGAGAGATGACTTGGTCAATAAAGGTACTTGCTGCATAAGCCTGGTGACTTTGGTTCAGTCCCTGGAGCCCATGTAAAGTTCAGATGCAACTCTACAAAGTTATCATCTGACCTCCACATACATACATTAATTAATTGACTGGTTATTTAATTTTTTTTTTTAAGGAAAGGAAGGTTGAAGATGTAACACAGATAGATACTAGGTATTATAGATTCGTGTGACCTTTATTGTCAGAACTGGCCCAGGACATTGGCTGTGAGATACAGCTGATACTTTTAGAACCAGGCTAAAAATCCAGTATACAGCAAGGAAAAAAAACCCTCTGTGATGTTACACAAATGCACTTTGGGGGATGGTAGTCGCCATGGACTTTGAGTGCCTTTGTGCCTGCAATGTGGCTCTGTGAAAATGATCTGTCTTCTCTTCAAAGGGGGAATCGCGGCAGGAAGCAGTGGGAAAGGAAGGGGAGCCAAGCGTAAACAGCAAGACGGAGGGACAACAGGGACGACCAAGAAGGCCCGAAGGTGAGATCACCCCCACCCCACTTACCCTTGCCCTGTTTATGTGCTGTAGGCAAAATCCACTGAAAGGGAAAGAGCTGTGTTCTTAAGGCTTAAGAATGTGGGGGTTTGTTCATTTGTGGTGAGTTCTGAACCCCTGGTAAGACAATAACTTTAAATGATGTCTTGTCTTTTTTTTTTAATTTATTTATTTTATGCACATTGGTGTTTTTGCCGTCATATATGTCTGTGTGAGGGTATTGGATCCTGTGGAATTGGAGTCACAGACAGTTGTAAGCTGCCATGTGGGTGCTGGGAATCGAACCCTGGTCCTCTGGAAGAGCAGTCAGTGCTCTTATCCTCTGGACCATCTCCCCAGCCCCCAAGGTCTTGTCTTTTATGAACCCATTACTATAAAATAGGTGCTTGCATTGCACTGGGAATACAGGTCAGTATTAGAGGACCTGCATGACATGTGGGAGGCCCCAGGTTGAATTCCCAGCATTGAAACAACAAAAGGCCCAATAATAGTGTCTTCTGTTCTGGGGAATAAAGTCACTTAAGAGATCCTGGGATAGCTAGATAGGTTAGAGAATAAAGCTTGCTCACTGTTAGTGCCTCAGCTTCCTTCCTCTCCTTTCCATGTCTCTTCTTTTTCCTGTCCAAAGCTGAGGCGATGAAATCCAGGTCACTTCTGATTTATACTGGCAAATCCTCTGTCTCCGGGTTTCTGTCTCTTGATTTATGTACCAAATGAACTATGGGGGCTGGAGATGCATATAGCTCAGTTGGTAGAGTTCTTCCTGACACATACAAAGGCCTGGGTTTGACCCCAGAATTGGATAAAGCAGGTTGTAAAACGACAGTACATGTGTAGAGTTAGGTGTCAGTCCCCTACAAACTACAAGTAATTTAATCTTTACCGGGTGTTTGGTGATTTGATTGAGTTAAATAAAGCATTTGTTGTAAAGTTGAATGCTTTCCGCCAGAAGCAACAAATCAGAGGCCTTTGTCTTCATTTGAGACAGTGTTTCTCTGTTTTGCCACAGCTGTCATGGAACTGGCTCTGTTGACCAGGCTGGCCTTGAATTTAGAGATGACCTGCCTCTGCCTCCCAAGTGCTGCGATTAAAGGTGTGCACCACACCACCTGGTTTAGAGGCCTCTTACAGGCTAGAGCACAGGTGAACTAGAGAGAACTTAGTTTCTTCAATGAGTTTTTCTTTTTCTTTTCAGTGACCCTTTGTTTTCTGCTCAGCGTCTCCCCCCTCATGGCTACCCCTTGGAACACCCGTTTAACAAAGATGGCTATCGGTATATTCTAGCTGAGCCTGATCCTCATGCCCCTGACCCAGAGAAGCTAGAACTTGACTGCTGGGCAGGAAAACCTATTCCTGGAGACCTCTACAGAGCTTGCTTATATGAACGGGTTTTGTTAGCACTACATGATCGAGGTATGTATGGAAAACTGTGCTGGCTAGGTTTTTTTTTTTTTTGTTATTTGGGAATAGAGAACCCTAATTGAGAAAATGCCTCCATCAGGTTGGTCTGTGGGCAATCAGTAGGGCACCTTCTTGATTGATAATTGGTATGGGAGGGCTCAGCCCACCCTAGTGACGCTACCCCTGGCAGGAGGTTCTTGGCTGCATAAAAGAAAATCTGGCGGGCGGTGGTGGCGCACAACTTTACTCCCAGCACTTGGGAGGCAGATCAGGTGGATCTCTGAATTTGAGGATAGCCAGGGCTACAGAGAGAAAACCCTGTCTTGGGGGAAAAAGGAAAGAAAAAAAAAAAAAAGGAAAGAAAGAAACCTACCTGAACAAGCTGTGGGAAGCATGCCAGTAAAACACCGTTCCTCTGTTTCTGGTTCCGTTTGTGCGTTGACTCCCTCAGTGAGGGCAGTGTTGGATGGAATAAACTGTCCTCTCCCAAGTTGTTTTGGTTATGATGTTATCCCAGCAATAGAGATCTAACTAAGACGGAAGCCAGTGCAGGGCTTTGAGGCGTTGCTCTGATAGGTTTGACTGTTTGCTCTGGGGAAGAGTGTGGAGATATTTAGAACCTGGACTGGAAAAGCCGCTAGATGCAAAGCTGAATGGGCTGTTCTGTGGTAGCGTGCTGAACGCAGTGCAGACGGTGGAGGCTGGCGTGGGAAGCTGCATGAGCTCAGAGAGTCCCTCAGAAACTGGATGTTTGATATTTGTATTAAGAATCTGTGCTTTCTAGTCAGCTGAGGCAGAAGAATCAACTGTGACTAAGAAGACACCAGCCGCACTTAGGTAAAGTCTTCTAGGAAGTGTTTCCTCAGGGCCAGCACACAGAACTTTGTTCCAGAGTGGGCCAAAACTGCATCTCAAGCTTGTAGTGGGCTGAGGGCAGGCCTGTTTTGCGTCCTGCCCGGCTCCCGCATGGTTAGCTTTACACCTGAAATAACAACACACAAATTGTATTCATATAAACATTGCCTGGCCCATTATATCTAGCCTCTTCTTGACTAACTCGTATCTTGCTTAACCCATTTTTAATAATCTGTATAGCACCACGAGGTGGTGTCTTACCTGGAAAGATTCAGCATGTCTGACATGGTGGCTGGCTCCATCGCGTCTGAATAAATCTGCTTCTTTCTCCCAGCATTCTGTTCTGTTTACTCCACCTGTCTAATTTTCTGTCCTGTCAAAGGGCTGAGGCAGTTTCTTTATTAACCAGTGAAAGTAACACATCACAGAAGACTCTCCCACATCACAAGCTGGCAGCCTAACCTAGTAATGTGGAAGCCTCTTCCGCACCTTACATGGAGACAGGCCCGGAGAGGCCATTGATGAAGGTTCCATTCAGTTACAGTGGAAACCTTGAGATGGGATTGAAGGGCTCCTAGAAGTGCCGTGTGGTAAGGTTGGAGTTCCTACAGAGAGGCCAGAAGAGGCTACTGGTGAAGGTGCGGCTCAATTGTAGTAGTGACTACAACTTCAGGTTTGGAGGTGCCAGGACCATGGGGTGACTGCCAAGGATAGCATAGGTGTGGAGTGAAGCCTGTCTGATCCTAAGAGACATGGGACATACTGCAGGTGGCAGAACCGGAGAAGAGCAACTGCCAAACCCTTGGTATTTATCACAGCAATAGAAATTTAACTAGGTCAGCCAAAATTCCTTTATAATAACCTGTTCTCAAGAGCTCATCTCCTCCCACAAGACCGGCATTAAACTTCTTTCAGAGTAGTGCCCCACGACTAATCCAGTCACAGCATGTATGCCCACATTAGTGGATGTCAGCGCCTCCAGAGTGCCTCATGGGGTAGAGGTGGACATTTGTAAGCCAACCTGCACATAAACCTGTGGCCACAATGAATTCATATCAACAGCTGGAATTCCAGCCGAACACCATAGGATGTTTCCTTGTTGCCTTCCCGTTTTACCTAGTTCTGATTTATTTTTCCAACAGCAGAATACTTAAAAATTAAGCAAAAAGTCCTCACTGACTAGATAGTTACCTGTAGTATATTTACTTGCCCATTAATAATACCCATGTAGGATAATTTCAGAAATTACAGTATCAATAGCCAGGAACTTTTTGTAATGCAAAAATGTAAGAAAGTATTTTGAGTCGGGCAGTTGTGCAAGCTATTAATTCCAGCCCTGGGGAGGCAGAGGCAGGTGGATCTGTAAGTTCGAGGCCAGCCTGGTCTACAAGAGGTAGTGCCAGGACAGGCTTCAAAGCTACAGAGAAATCCTGTCTCATAAACCAAACTAAAACAAACAAACAAAAAAAAACCCTTCAAGAAATTTTGGTGTGGTGGTGGCACACGCCTTTAATTCCAGCACTTGGTAAGCAGAGGCAGGTGGATCTCTGTGAGTTTGAGGCCAGCCATGAGCTGGTGCCACGACAGGCTCCAAAGCTACAGAGAAACTTTGTCTTGGCGGGAAAAGTACTGTTTTGTTTTAAAGGGGTGAGGGTAGCTTGATGTGGGAAGGTCATTTGTCTATGTGTTAATTTCATTGGTTAATAAAGAAACTGCCTTGGCTTTTGATAGAGCAGAAAATTAGGTGAGTGGAGTAGACAGAACAGAATGCTGGGAAGAAGGGAAGTGAGCTCAGACGCAATGGAGCCAGCCGCCAGGTCAGACATGCTGAATCCTTCCCAGTAAGCCACCACTTCATGGTGCTACACAGATTATTAGAAATGGGTTAGTCAAGATGTGAGAGTTAGCCAAGAAGAGGATAGATATAATGGGCTAGACAGTATTTAAATGAATACAGTTTGTGTGTTGTTATTTCGGGGCATAAGCTAGCCAGGCGGCCAGGAGCTAGGCGGCAGGAACGCAGCCCGCTGCTCCTCACTACAGTAGCTCAGTAGTGTAGCACTTACATAATGTACATGAGGCTTTGAGTTTGTTCCCCTCCACCACACACACAACACACACAGAATGAGACTTGTCAAAGAAGGATTCAGCCACTGCGAGAATCACTAGATTGTAGTATTTGAGTGCAGCTGTTTGACTTTAGTGTCTATTCAGGACACTGTTAGCTTTGATGGTTGGTTTTTTTCCCCTAGTTTTCTCAGTGTGATGTTCAGCTAGGTTGGTTTGCTGGTGTGGCTTACCATTTTGCGTCTTCCTGTATCTAATGGGGGTGTGTATGTGTAGCTGTGTGTGCCATGGGCTACATGTGTAAGTCAGGGAAAGCTCTGGAGTCAGTTCTCCTATATTTAGGTCGATTCAGCAGGTTTGTGCAGCAAATACCTTTACCCATTGGCCTAATTACAATGATATTGGGTAAGACTTTGTACTTAGCTGGGTGTTGGTGGCATATGCCTTTAATCCCAGTACTTGGGAGGTAGAAGCAGGCAGATCTCTGTGAGTTCGAGGCCAACCTGGTCTACAAGAGGAGGACAGGGGCGGTGATGGCACACCTTTAATCCCAGCACTTGGGAGGCAGAGGCAGGTGGATCTCTGTGAGTTTGAAGCCAGCTTGGTCTACAAGAGCTAGTTCCAGGACAGGTTCCAAAGCTACAGAGAAACCCTGTCTTGATAAACAACAACAACAACAAAATTTGTACTTAATGTCTTCATGGCTATACCCTATTCTTATTCCCTTCGTTTTCTTACCCATCCCCTTGTTTCTAGTTTCTCTATTTCTTTTCCCGTTTGGTTGTCTTTTGGGAGGCGGGCAGAGCCTCACTGCATAAGTACTTCCCTACTTAGCTTCCCGAGTGCTGAGACTACAGACATGATTCGTCATGCCTGGCTGCTGGTATTTCTTCTTCACAGATAAATGTATTCTCCTATCCCTTTCATGCACAAAGTACAGAGCCCTATAAGCTTTTGCATTTTGTTATGTGCACTGGTGCAGTCAGTCACTCCTTACCAGTTCAAAAACTAGTTCTCTCTCTCTCTCTCTCTCTCTCTCCCTCCCTCTCCCTCTCCCTCTCCCTCTCCCTCGCTCTTGCTTTGGGAAACAGGGCTTTTCTGTATAGCTTTGGCTGACCTAGAACTCACTATGTAGACCAGGCTTGCCTTGAATTCAGAGATTCGCCTGCCTCTGCTTCCCAAGTGCTGGGATTAAAGGCATGGGCCAACACCTCCTGGCTATAATTTTTATTTTAATTTGGGTATACACTGTCACATAAGTGTGCAGGTGCTCACAGAGGCTAGAAGATGGCATTGCATCCCCTAGAACTGGAGTTATAGGCAGTTGTGAGCTGCCTGACATGGGTGTAGGAATCAAACTCAGTTCCTTTAGAAGATGCTCTTGATTACTGAGTCATTTTCTGCTCCTTGTTTTCTGGAGTGGTACTGCAGAATAATACCTAAAGCAAGTGTTTTGAGAGGGAAGAGAGTTTACTGTGATCTTGTCCTGCCCTAGTCTCTGAAGTTGGTTGGTCACTTTAGCTTTGATTGGTTGCTAGGGACATGTTCAACATACAGCTGACCATGAGCCTTCAACATTGTCAAAATGTGTTACTTCGGTTGGGCATGGTGGCACATACACATAATTCCAGCCCTCTGGAGGCGGAGTCAGGAATATTGCCACAAATCTGAGGCCACATAATGCATACCAGGCCCTCCCAGAGTTGTGTTGCAAGATCCTGTCTAAAACAAAGTGAAGTGTCACTAGGTCCCTTCCATAACTCAAGTGGAGCAGAATGATCTCTGTCTCATGAAAGAATTTGTAATACCTTTCAGGAAACACACATGATAAACAAATAAGTAAATCTTTAAAAGGTGTGTGTGCTAAGGTCTCTGAGTACCTCAAATAACACCTTGCCTTTGGTTCTTTCACTGTAGCTCCCCAGTTAAAGATCTCTGATGACCGGCTGACTGTGGTTGGAGAGAAGGGCTACTCCATGGTACGGGCTTCTCATGGGGTACGAAAAGGTGCCTGGTACTTTGAAATCACTGTGGATGAGATGCCACCAGATACTGCTGCCAGGCTGGGCTGGTCCCAGCCCTTGGGTAAGCAGAGGGCACTGTGTGGGCCTTACAGCAGGGGTAATCTGGCTCATCGTTTGCCAGATTGTGGTCTTAAAGTTAAATTCCTGAGGGAGTAGCCAGTTTGGTATTCCCATAATTCTGTAGAGAGTTTGTGAGCACTTTACAGAGTTGACCAGAAAGATACACGGTGGGAAGTAGAATGAGCCTTAACTGCGGCCCTCTGATCTCCACATGTCTTTTCATTGGGACAGGTAACCTTCAAGCTCCCTTAGGGTATGATAAATTTAGCTATTCTTGGAGGAGCAAAAAGGGAACCAAGTTCCACCAGTCTATTGGCAAACACTACTCGTCTGGCTATGGACAAGGAGATGTCCTAGGGTTTTATATCAATCTTCCCGAAGATACAGAGACAGCCAAGTCACTGCCGGATACTTACAAAGATAAGGTGAGATTGTCCTCCTTCCTCAGCTTCCTGGCTCTGATGACCTGTGGCAGTCAGCCCCTGTAGCTGTTGCTTAGGTTCTTTTGTGATGGTGCTCCATGGTGTGTGTGTTTCCCATATCTTTTCAGACACAGCAATAAAATGGAAAGAATCAAGGCTTTAGTCCCTGAGTAGTCCACCTAAATTCTACCATTAACATGTTATCAATTTGTTCTTTTCTATTATGTACTACTGGGAAATTGGTGGACATCATTGCAATTCCCCCAATAGGTACTTCGGGAAATGTATCATTAGTCATTGTTCAACTTTGGATTTACATATACATATACATACACACACATACATATATAATATTCAAATTTTAAGTCTTTTTTTTTCCAGGTACAGAATTTTTATTTATTTATTTTTTTTTTATTTTTTTAAGTATTTTAGTGTTTAAAAGTCAAGCCCAGGAACGGGAGAGATGGCTCAGGTTAAGAGCGCCGTCTGCTTTTCTGGAAGACTTGAGTTCAGTTCCCAGCAACTACATGGTGGCTCACAACCATCTATAAGTGGATCTGATGCCCTCTTCTGGTGTAAAGGTGTACATGCAGATTGTGTGTGTGTGTGTGTGTGTGTGTGTGTGTAATTTAAAATTTAAAAGTTTTAAAAATAAATAAGTTTGCCACCAAGCCACATCTTTTTTTGTTTGTTTTGTTTTTTGCTTTTGTTTGTTTGGTTTTAATTTTTCAAAACAAGATTTCTCTAGAGTGTAATAGTCATAGCTATCCTGGAACTCACTCTTGTAGACTCTTGTCTTGTTGGCCTGTATGGTATGCGCACTATGTGGATCCCCTAGGCTAGACTTGCACTTTATTAGGAGCTACCGTGTAGGTACTGGGTCCTCTGAAAAAGCAGCCAGTGCTCTTAACTGCTGAGCCGTCTCTCCAACCCCTCTAGTCCGTATTGGGTTTTGTTTGTTAAGATTTATTTATTTTTATTGTTATGATTTAAAGATTTACTTATATGTGTATATGGGTGTTTTGTCTGCATGTACATCTTCACACCAAAAGAGGGCATCAGATCCCATGTAGTTGCTGGGAATAGAATTCAGGAGCTCTAAAGAGCAACCATCCAGTGCTTTTAACCACTAAGCCATCTCTCCAGCCCTAGCCCTCTGTTCAGTTTTAATGGTATCTTTTGTGTACCTCACACAACGGTCAGGTTTGTCAGTTTGGTTTAACTAGAGTTGGAGTCACAGGTGGGAACCAAACTCAGGTCTTCTGCCAGAACAGTGTCTGCTCCTGACCACAGAGCCATCTCTCCAGCCCTAATGGATCTTTTCATGAACCAAAGTGTTAGTGTTTATGAAGCCTGTTTTTTTTTATTTTTTATTTTTCTTCTGTGTTTGCTTCTGTGACTTAAATGTTGGTGTACCCACAAGTCATGAGAATATCCTTCCATGTTTAACTTTGACCTTGCATTAGGTCACTGATGACTTTCTTTGAATTAATCTTTGTATACAGCAGGGAGGGTGAACATGTATTTCTTCCTTAGGAATATCAGAGTATTCCAACATGATCTGTCTAACTTCTTGCATCTCCCCTGGAATTGTTTGGTGTGTTTAGTGAAAAATCAACCATACAACTACTCCAGTGATCCCAAAAATGTTGTCATGAAACATTTCCCCATGAGTTTTCAATTGATTCACTTTCTTTTATAGGTACTTAGTGTTTCTTTTATAGGTACTTTGTGTTTTTTTAAGTGTGTATATATAATTCACTTACTGAGGTCTTTTTTGGGAAATGCATAACAAACATGGCCCACTAGTCTCTTTTAAAAACCTTGTCTCAGAAAACCAGAACATAAATAAGTACTTAAGAGCCGAGTGCTGGCGCACAGGCCTTTAATCCAGCACTGGGGAGGGGAGGCAGAGGCATGCCAGCCTGGTCTACAAGAGCGAGTTCTGGTTCCAGCACAGCCAGGGCTACATAGTGAGACCCTGTCTTAACAAAACTTAGTGCTTAGGAACTGAAAAATTCACAAAACTCAGTGAAAAAGACTGACATGGCATTGTCTGTGTGAATGTTTCTTTGTTTTCTCTGTGATGATGCAGCTGACTCTTGAATATGACGTTTTCTTTTTTTCTTACTGGATTTTCAAGGCTTTGATAAAGTTCAAGAGTTATTTGTATTTTGAAGAAAAAGACTTTGTGGACAAAGCAGAAAAGAGCCTGAAACAGACTCCCCATAGCGAGGTGAGTCACAGTCATAAATATGTCAGAGTAATAATGCTTTGAAGATCTGGACTCCTTGAGGATAAAAGGCAGAGGTGGTGGCGCATACCTTCAATCCCAGCACTTGGGAGGCAGAGGCATGCCAGCCTGGTCTACAAGAGCGAGTTCCAGGATTGTCTTGAGTGAAGCAGCTGAGGCCCCCGGGTACTGAGGGATGGTAGTCAACATGGCTGCCTGCAGCTGAGAACTTCCTCTACCTGTCGCTTGTGCTCCCTGTGTCCCTGTATTGCATTACAGTGTTCTTTCTGGGATGATAAAGGGCTACAAGGACAGTGACCTGATAAGGAGTCATGCAGGGGATTAAAGAAGCCTGAGCTAGACATTCTCCTAGGAGATGCCAAGTACAGAGGGAGACCAGAACTAGGGGAGACTGGCTGGTGTCACTCAGATACCAGGGCCTGATAGCTCACTTGTGCTCTAGAACTCTGCCTGCCTTCCCTCCCAGGCATATCCCCAAGGCCAAATAAGAAAAGAGGAGTGAGAGAGTTCTAAATGTTTTGGGAGGAGAGATTATATCAGTTTAAAGCTGAAATAAGCAAGAAAAAGTTCTTGCCATAAAATAAGTCTTTCTGATACTTGTTACAAACACGGTGCGGTGAAAGCCGAGTGTGTTGGCACATGCCTGTAAGCAAGGTGCTTATGAGGCATAAAGCAAGAGTGTAGGGCACCCTCAGCTGCAGAGTGAGCTGGAGGCCAGCCTAGACTACATGGGACTGTCTCAGTCCCTCCTCCAAGTATAATGTACATGGAATAACTATTGAACTGTTCGGTATCTGAAGCATGGAAATTTAAAAAGAAATGGGCTTAAAGTCAACGGAAACATTATTATTAATTTTACTTGAAAAGCCTAGCATATAAATTTAAGGTGCTATATAAAATGTATGTTATTAAAAGGAGTAACATTATTGTCATTTGATCTGGTAACGGTATTCAGTGTTCCATAACTGAGGGTTTTTTTCATATTTTGTTCTTTTTTAAAAAAATCTGAAGTAAAACCTTGATCTTTGTTTCAGATAATATTTTATAAAAATGGTGTCAATCAGGGTGTGGCTTACAGAGATATTTTTGAGGGAGTTTACTTTCCGGCCATTTCACTGTACAAGAGCTGCACGGTATGTACCCTGTGTTTGGTGTGTGGAGGGGTTGTGATGAAAGAGCCATTGATTGGAGAGGAGAGTGACTTGTAGAAAGAAATCTGAAAGCCTCTGGGAGGCTGGAAATGCACACATTCTGGATGGCTCAAGTATTTGCAGATGTCATTGTTTAACGCTAAACATACAAAGCACATGCATTCGGGAGTCATTGGCGTCATGGTTGATTATGTAATGTGTTTACTGCCATCAATAACTATAGAAAATATATATAGTCAGGCATGGTGGTGCACACCTTTAATCCCAGCATTTGGGGGGTAGAGACAGGCTGAATTCTCTGAGTTCAAGGCCAACCTGGTCTACACAATGAATTCCAGGACAGCCAGAGCTTTGCAGTGAGACCTTGTCTCAAAAAAAGTCTTGCATGAAGGGATTATCGTTGCTGCTTGTTTTAAAAGGAAAAATTGGTACATGGAGATTTCCATGTATTAGTGTTGCTACCTCCCATAAACAGGGAATCTTTTGACTCCAAACAGAAATGAGTGAGAAATCTATTTCTACCTAGTGCTTAATAGCCATAAGGGTGTTGATCACTTTTAGCAATGTTAATATATATCTTTGTTTGTTCCAATCTTAGTGACATTGTTTTTACTTTGAAACAGGGCCTGCTGTGTAGTTCAGCGTAGACTCTAACCCAGGATCCTCCTGTTTCAGCCTCTAGTGCTGGCATTACAGGCATGCACCACAGTTCCTACTTCTTGTAGTTTTCCTTTAAATATCCCCTGCCAAATAAACTGTTTTCTTTTTCCATTTTTTTTCCTTGTCTGCATGAATTGAACTTACCCAGGTTTCCATTAACTTTGGGCCATCCTTCAAATATCCTCCAAAAGATCTCACTTATCACCCTGTGAGTACCATTAGAATGTCTGCATGCATCCTCGATGATTTATTTCTTGCTGCGGCTTTTGTAATCACTCATTTTCCTATTTGTTTTCTATTCCTCCTGCAGATGAGCGACATGGGCTGGGGCGCTGTGGTGGAACACACGCTGGCTGATGTTTTGTATCATGTGGAAACAGAAGTGGATGGAAGGCGCAGTCCACCCTGGGAGCCCTAACCAATCCTTGCTTCAGACAGCTTTCTGTGGAATAATATCCGTTTTTGCTTTTGTTTATGAAGTGTCAAATGTTGTCCCAAAGATGATGCCACACACTTTGCTGAGGTAAAAGAGGCTGGCTGAGTGGGACTGCAACAGATTCCCCTTCCTCAGCCTTCCCTCTCCACTTCCGCTCTTACTCTGTGAGTGCCATACATAAGTCAACAACCGCTGATTCGGAAGCACCCACAGACTGCCTGTGAAGCTGGTGCTGTGCCGCACGCCTGCCAGCAGAACTTGTTACCTTCTGTATTCTCTAAAAGTGAGCAATCATGCCCGTGCACTAGTGTGTTTATAGATCTTCTGAGAGTGGCAGTACATTCAAAGCCGTCTAAAAGCTATCTTTTCTAGTGTGGAGCTTGGGGGCTGTGAAGCCTAGTGGGCCTCTATGAACTGTAATTGTGAAAGGAGTTTGCGTGCAGGTTTAACAGATTTTTCCTCCAATAAAACTTGTTTGCAAGCTTGCGTGGCACTTGGCTTCGCTTGAGGTTGAGTTCCTCTTATGACAGTGTGAGAACGGGGTAGCACTGGAAGAATGGGACAGACTTCTGGCTTAGGCTTCAACCCCTCTCTTCCTCTGTGAGCAACCAGGTGTTTCCGCTGTCCTGTGGAAACTGGAATCTCAGAGCAAGAGTGTAAATGGCCTAGCTCTTCTGTTTGAACCTGGTATTGGTGTGTGCAGGGGTTCTCTTGCCAGCCTTCCTTTAGGAGGACCCCCCCCCCAATGGTCTCCCTTTTTAACTTATGTATCTATTTAAAAAGCAAACCCCTAGAATGACCTAAAGACTGCCCTGTGTAGTTTTTTGTTTTGTTCATTTGGTTTTTTTTACCTAAGTACTAGGTAAAGTGATTTGATTCCACTGGAGCCAGGTGGTATGGACCGCTCCTACTGTTCTAATTATTTTATTTTGCTATTTAAGAAATTCCCCAAGGTTCAAGTGATTAGTAACACAAATGGCATTACTATTACACTTGTCTCCTACTGAATCACCCAGACTCCTCAGTTCATCCATTCAATATCTTTGTTGTTTGTTTTTGTATTTTGAAGCAGGGACTATGTAACCTGGCTGTCTATGGGAGACTAGGCTGGCCTCAAACTGACAGAGATCTGCCTTCCTCTACCCTTTGGGGGCTGGGATTAGGAGTGGACCACCACATTTGGCTTGTCCATTTACTACTGTCTTAACAAGAAACTCACTACAGAGTCGGTACTATTGTAAGCAGTGTCCCAGCCTATCACTATCACAAGGACTGGTCTGAGAAGGACAAGCCACTTACAAAGTGAGATTGTTGCAGTTTGAAGGACTCCCAAGAAAAGAATAATGTTATTAGTAGAAACTAGAGGTAAAGTGTTGGCATATAAATGTATAAATCATATGCCCTACTAAAACTAGATGGCTTTCATATGTTGGAGGTTACCAAAGTGGTGCTTTACTTGACAATACTTAGTGTCTGGAAGAAAAAGGGCAGGTGGTAGTGAGTCACCATTAATCACGCCAGTCAAAGGCTGAGGCAGGAGGGTTGAAATGAGTTCCATGCCAGCCTGGACTACAGAGTGAGTGAAACCCGTTTCTAAAGAACACATTTGAAAGGCAAAACCACAAAAAGTGTGTGTACAGCTGTGAACTTGAAATGTGTTAACAAGTTTCATTTGAAAGATTCAAAAATAACTACCCATCTAGAGGTGCCTATTGGTTGCCATTAACAACTAGTTTTATTCGAATGTAAAATTAAACAACGGGGTAAAGCATCTCAGACAGCACAGAGGCACAGTTACAGCATGGGAAGGGGCAAATGAGAGCTGAGTGTTAGTTACAGGCCCTTTTCTTCCTCATCAGCCTTTTTCTTCTTGAAGCCAGCATGCTTGGTGCTGGGCTGAATCTTCCCTTAGCTAATGATGGTGACAGTTGTAGCAGAAAAGCCCTACAACTGCCCTTGCTCGCGCTGAAGCTCCTGGATGAGCAACAACCATCTGTGTCAAAAGTAGACTGGAAAGCAACGAGAATTAATATAATAAATATCAGTTGTTAAATCTTAAGACTTAATAAATACCAGTGTTCCTACAGCTTCTGCTTTACTCATAAATAAGCTAGAATTCTTTACAAAAGATGGAAATTACCAATGCTACTACGGCTATAAAGGACAGAAAAATGGGCTGGCAAGATAGCACTGCAGATAAAAGTGCTGCCTACCCTGACAGTGAAAAGCTTTAGTCATAATAGTTGAGGTTTTTTTTTGTTTTTTGTTTTTTTTTTTATCCTTAACACATTTCACAAAGGAATTCCAGTATATTCGTAGTTATGTGTAAAGTTTTCAGTGTGGATGTGAGTGCAAATGAGTGGAGACCAGGAAGTTTGTGGGGTCAGTTTTTCAGCTCCCTCCTTCCACTTTCTGTGGTTCCAGGAGTCCAGCATGAGTTGTCAGACTTGGCAAGCACTTCTATACACTGAGTCATTTTGCCAGCCCCCAACTTAAATCTTTAAAGCATAATTTCTCCAAATCCTGGAACATAAATTTGCTATCACTACATTGCCTTTTACCCATTTTCCCTTCAAAAATGGTAATATTTCAAGCTTTTCAAACAAGGAAGTTGCTAGCTCTGAGCCAAACTGACTAGCTTATCATCACCAACTAACCTCATAAACAACAGACATAGTCTCTTTATCTTAGCATTATTGGTCAGTATTTCTTATTTGGTATTTTCCTTTTAACTAGGTAATTGAAAATCCTGTTAAAATCTTCCTCATTTAGGGCTATTCACCTTAACTCTAAAGGGTTTGCTATTGTTTGTTGTGATGATCTCATGCTGGTTCAAGCTTGCCGGGAACTGACGGCAGTTCCCCTGTATCATCATTTGGAGTGTTGCGATTTCAGCTGTTGAGCCATAACGACTGACTAGAGGGTTTTGTGTGTGTGTTTGTGTGTGTGTGTGTTTTGTTTTTAATGATTCTGGGTGTTCAGCCTGTATATTTGGATGTCTGTGCACCATGTGCATTCCTGGTGTCCACATGAGAAAGCATCAGATTTCCTGGGAGAGCAATTAATAGCTGTGAGCTGCAATGTGGGGTGCTAGGAATTGAACCTGGATCCCCCTAGAAGAGCAACCAGTGCTCCTATCTGTTGTCATCTCTCCAATCCGTTTTTGTATTTTTGCGACAGGGTCTCACTGTGTAGCTCTGGCTATCCTATGTAGACCAGGCTGGCCTTGACCTTCACAATTGCTGGGGTTAAAGGCATGCATCACCACTAGGTGGCTAGAGTTTGGAGTCTAAACAATCGAATGATAAATCTCCAGGAGTTTTGTTCCCTCTAATTACTAGAAACTCCAAACTCTGATGAAGCTGTGACCCCCAGCACAGATGCTGTGGAGCAGGACTTGACAAGGGCAGGCTGAGATTTGCATGGATGGTGCTTTATTGTGACCGAGTAAGTAGGGAAGCCAGCAGAATAACTAGTTTGTTTCTTTTTAGACAAAACTTGGAATATGCTGGGGAAGGGTCCATTTGTGGGTAGTTTGTTGTTCTGGGCCTTTTATGGAGGAGCAGGTCACTGGAGTTTCCCTGCATAAAACTGCTCTGTGCACACTGCTTGAGGCCGTGGCTTTGAGCACCCCACCTTGTCACGTCAGCTACTGGAATGGTTTACTTAGCCTCCACTTCACAGCTAATCGGTGGGAGAGGCTAGAGGTCTTTTCTCAGCCTCATTTCTATTTTCCTGATGGCCAATTTTTACTAGCCAGTCCTAGATTCTGATGGCTACTCCTCCCGTTAAACCAGCTGAAGATTTTAACGGACTTGAAGGCTTCCTGCGGGAGTCTGCTGATGGTGTACAGGTTGATGTAGTGGGCACAGTTAACACCGGGCTTCAGAGGCAGGGCTGGACTCCAGGCGCTTGCGCAGATGGTTGGCAAAGTCCATCTGGGTTTGCGATAAGACCTGGTTGATGATGGTCTTCGGCAGCCACCCCTGTAGCAGAGACAGGAACATTGGTATCTTTGTTGGTTGGTTGCTTGCTTGTTGGTTTGGGGATGGGGAGGTTTAGAGACAGGATTTCTCTGTGTAACAGCACTGGCTGTCCTGGAACTCACTTTGAAGACCAGGCTGGCCTTAAACTCAATGGAGATCTGCCTACCTCTGCCCCAAGTACTGGGATTAAAGGCGTGTACCACCATGCCCAGCAAGCATTGGTATCTTGTGGATGCTCTTCTCCTGTACCCTGACACAGGCAGGAAAACCAAACAGAGCTTGGCCTTCCTGTTTAGAGCTGCAACCTTTGTTGCCCTATTGTTAGAGACAGGATTCCCAGCTGTGTGACCTCTAGAAATCCTTTCCTGTTACCTCCCTCTGGGCCCAAGATCAGTTCTTTCTAAATAGACATATTTATACATAAAACTGATTTTCTTTTTAATCATTTCACTAGGTCCTGGAGTCTCTAACATGTGATCTTCCTACTTCTGCCTCTCAGTACTGAAATTGTAGATACTGTACTCAGCTTTTTAGATGAGGAGAGAGGAAGCCTTGGCAAGTCTTCTACAGTGGTAAAATGGCAGGCCATATTTAAGTCCATCACCTACCCAGCAGCCTGTGATTCTATCAAAATGAAAGAGGAAGGCTGGCAAGGTGGCTAGGTGGGTCAAAGCGCTTGTCTCCCAGACCTGACGTCTGAGTTAAATTGCTGGAACCCACATAAAGGAGGCGGGACCCCAAGTCAACAGTGTCCTCTGACCTCCAGGTTGCTGTGACATTTGAGCGCCTGCATTCACACATACACATCATGCACTCACAACAATAAGCACGCCAAGAAAAAATGCAAGAGGATTCACTCTCCTCTCCATTGGAGGACAAGACCATATTTCTGTCACTACTCCCTATTCCCAGGCCATCTCCCATGCCCCTTACCTTGAGGTCAATACTGAGGAGCCAAGTGAATTTAGTCTTTGAGGGACTTCCAGCCACTGGGTGAAGCACCATGCAGGTGGGACCGTGTTCAGCTCTGGGAAATGAAGAGCAGCCAAGGTAGGAAGACAAGTGAGAGCTCCGCTGAGTGACACCAGCACATTGTTAGAGTCCCTTGTAGTCTAAATTTCATCAGGAAGATCTTCACCAAAAGTACTGTTTAACAACTGGCCTGGCTACCCGCTCATCAGAACCACTGGTTCTAGAGGCCTCCTGTTATGCCCCCTGGTGGTTAGAACACAGAGAAGCCTGCTCCTTGCTTTAGGAAATGATTAAGATTGTTAGAAGCTCCTTCGAGGGTCAGAACAAACTAATTGGCCACTGAAGTAGGGCCACACTGGGCCTTACTTCCTTGTTAAAGCAGAGAGTGGGGCTAAGGATTGGTTTCTTGGACACTGCAGTCTTGAGGCTGCTGCCAGTTTTACCTGATGACACCACTTTGTTCGGGCATCTCCCCAAAATGTGTGGCCACGCCTGCCAACACACAGGTGGAGCCCCTGCGCTTGGCACAGCGCACGCTCACAAAGTCACGGGGCCCCACCAGGTTTCCTGCTGCTGCTGCAGCCAGCTCATGGGTGATGATTGTGTTTTTCCCGATCTTTTGCAGGACCTAATACAAGGGAATCAGTCAGGACTCAGCCAGTAGTAGGCTAAGGTCCCATAGTCTGGGATGCCTTTGGCCTGTTAGACTGCATTCTTTTGGGTCCCTGCCACCCACAGCTGCGCTTTTCCTCACCTTGATCTCCTTGACGTTTGGGTTCCACTCTCCCATAGCCTCCATGCGGTCCACAAGTTCTTCATAGAGTCTGTCCATAGGCTGGTCTACCACTACCTCCAACCGAAACACCTTGCCCACATCCGGGACTACTTTACTTAGCACTTCATCACCATTTTCCTGTTAGGGACAAGAGCCACAGGGTTAAAGGTAGAGAACGTCACTCCTAGCCTAGGCCTTAGACAGTACTGGGAAAGGGAGCAGCAAGTCTCATGTGAGCATCAGGGACCTGGATCTCTACCTGACAAGGATCCCGTCAGGAAGCACTGCTACCCACTTGTATAGCCACTCAAGACTGCCTTGTCTTGGTGATGAGTGTTGGCAGCATGGGCAGCCAACTGAAATGACCCAGAATCCAAAGCTCAGAGTCCAAAAGACAGACCTAGAGTGTAAAATGCTCGGTCTGCAACTAGCCTATTATATAGAGGGAGCAATTGGGCTTTTGTTTGCTTGTTTTGATCATTCAGTATATGTCATTTCACTTCATAAGAATGTGGAGCCAGGGGCTGGAGAGATGGCTCAGAGGTTAGGAGCACTGGCTGCTCTTCCAGAGGTCCTGAGTTCAATTCCCAGCAACCACATGGTGACATACAACTATATAATGAGATCTGGTACCCACTTCTGGTGTGCAGGTATACATGCAGGCAGAACACTGTATAGGTAATAAATAAATCTTTTATTTATTTATTTTTTTAAAAAAAAAGATTGTGGAGCCAGAAAGTTTCAGTGATTTGCCCAGGGACCCTTAGCAAAGAGCAGTGCTGAACCTGGATCTCAGATTTTTTTACTCCTAAACTATTAGTCTATTATTTCCATTACTGTAAGAACTTGAGCAATAAGATGTTTCATCCAAACTTTAGGTGATGGATAGTGTGTAATCTTTTGCTGGAGATAAGGTAGATCTAATAGTAGAGCTACTGGTTTTAACCCAAGTCTTGTTACTGGCTGGGCAGGGCTTCAGACGATACTGGATACTTCAGATATACTCCAGCCTTACAGCAGGGTGAGCCCACATTCCTCACTGCAAGTCCATCCACAGGCTGGGCTGAACAGTACGAACATACTCTAGCATGGAAGGGTTTTCATGCTGGGTAATCTGTGCCCCAGTGCACATGGAGTCTCCACAGTGGGCGGTTTCTATTGGATGAGTGTACGGCATTTGGAAGGTAGTTAAACAATAGGGACAGTGTTTCTCAACCAGGTCTTATGGCAGGAGGGTTATCTGAGAACATACTGTGTGTTGGTTTGTTTTGAGACAGGGTCTCACTATTCCCCTGGCTGGTCTCAAACTCCCAGAGATCCCCTTTCCTCTACCTCCTGAGTGCTGAGATTAAAGATGTGTGCCCTCACTCCAACTTGAGAATATATTCTTAGGAGAGTCCTCAAAGTTACTTGGCTGCTTATAAACCATGAATGAGGTAGGAATCCCAGCTGAGCACAGGCAGTGGGACAATCAGTAGCTCCAGGTTTCTCTCAGCCACCCTTCCTTACCTGCTGGGTCTCCTTCTTCCAGCCTTCCTGGTTGCTGAGGATGCCCAAGGCCTTCTGCATAGCCACCTCTCCCTGCTGGATGTAGGACAGCTCCTGCTCACTATAGAGTGCCGCTTCCAGCTGAGAACCTGTATGCATAGCCATGGAAAGAAAGATCCTCAGCTCTCATCCCTTTGCCTTCTGAATGTGCTCAGTCCTCAGAAGAGACAAGATCAAAGGCATCGGGTCCTGTCTGAAGGTCAAGGTAGATAACAGGAGTTAGGTAGCCATGGGCAGGGGAACAGGTCTCATGAGCAACATTTACACCCTATAAGCCCCATCACTCCCTGAAGCCCAGAAGCCCCAATACTTACCAAGCAGTGAGCTCCGACGCCGAACCTGACTGATCCACCCAGGACTGGCATCTCCCAGTGTTCTCCGGTTCAGCTCCTGGCCGATGGCCAGCACAGCTTGGTGCCTCAGTCCTGCAGAGAGGAAAGTAAAACTTTTGCCAAGGACTAGAAAGTCCCTTAGTGAGGAGCCGTCCAGTCCACTCATCACAGAGGAGCAAACTGGCTCAGAAACAGGTGTCAGCAGGGACCTGAGAGAGCCACGTCTTTAAATCCAAGTTCAGTGTTAAACTTCCTCCAGCACTTCGGGCCCAGGAATCTCTTTTTTTTCATCTTGGGAAATAAGGGTAGGCTAGTCAAACCTACCTGGGCACAGAAGTTTACCTGAGCCTATTGTAAGCTAGAAAAGGGCTGTCCAGTGAGCTACTGGATATGGAATAGGATACATCTATCTCCCGAGGGTTACCCCACTCCCAAGATCTGCCTTGACTATACCATGATAAGAGCCCCCACTCCCCCACCCCTTTGCCTTGTACTTCTGCTGCCCAACTCTCCTTTTTCTTATGCTCTTCCCAGGCACTGCTTAAAAGCCAAGGCTGGCTTCCACATTTCTCTACCACAAAGATTTGCCCGGGACCCTTGGTATAGCCTGGTCCAATCCTGAAAGAAGGCAACATCAATACTAGAAAAACCAGAAAAACTAGGGTCCTAGAGCAGAGGCCAGAAATGATAGGGTTTGGGTGAGATGTGGCATCTTACTATCCATCCTCATTTTTTCAAGTGAAAAAACAGATCCAGAGGGGCAAAGATTTACCCAGGCTCACCCAGGAAGAGGCACAACTGGGACCAACCGAAGCTTAGGTGGCCTGTTCCCCCTCCAGGATCTTTCCATAGTCTTGGCAAGCACTCACGTTCCTCCACCCCCCAGACTCACCTTTCATGTTCCGCATGTGTCTGTAGGAGCTCCCAGCACACAGCTTAAATGTGGCTAGCAACATAGTTTGCTGGCAGATGTGGCAATGTGGCTGCACTCAAGGGTTTGCTCTCCCTGAACCGTTCAAGGTCTTGAGTCCTGCAGCTGTGGTTTGAACCAAGCGCTCTGCCTTAAATGCTTCCAGCGGAAGGCTGTGCATCATCGCTCGGAGATAAAAAAGCCATCAGTCACTGTGCAGAGGGTCAAGGATGGAATGATTGCCTCACACCGCAGTGATGGCCAAGGTGGGAGGGGGCAGAGTGCGTAGAAGGGAGCAAGGGCCGGGCTCAGTAGATGGAGGAAACAGGCCACTGGGATGGGGCAGTTGGACAGAGGGCATACAGCTTCTCAAGTTTTAAATGCAAACTTTCAGCCCCATCCTCAAGCTCTAGATTCAGCATCCACTGACCAAGGTGGGTCACCTCTATATAAGAACGCTGGCGGAGAGAGTGAGCCAGGGTAAAAGAACCAAAGGAGTAAATTAACAGTACAAGACCAGAGACAGGTATGGTGGCACATAGCTTTAATCACAGCATTCTGAGCCAGAGGCAAGTAAATTTCTGTCAGTTCAAGGCCTATCTCAAAAAAAAGCAAGACCATGAATCAGGCCTGGAGGGTAACAGTGACCAGTTAAAAAACAAACAGGGTGTTAGGGGCATGGGAAGAGCAATAGCCTAAGTCCTTGGGTTGGCCTTGGTTCCTTCTACCAGTGTCCTCCCGTACACCCTTTGTTTTCAACGGATCATTTATTTGCTCACTCATCGATACAAATCGTCTTTCCCGAAGCCCCATTCTAAGTCCTCATTTCAGGAGACTGTGGATAGGTTAGTCCCTTCTGTAAGCTCCTTAGCCGAGAGTAATGCGGCCCAGGCTACATGCTGCTGCTTCCTCGCCCTTTCCTCATGCAGCTGAGGCTGGGTCAGCCCTGCTCCAGGACTTGGCCTGTGCGGAAAGGTGGGAATGACAATTTACTTGGATTATCTACTATCGGTTTTTGCCAACAGGGGATCCTATGGTACTGGACACAGGCCCATGGAGCCTTTGAAGTGCCTCTGTTATTCCCAGGCATGCCCGGCAGGGACAAAGCTCTAGGTCCCAGCACTGCTCTGCCAAGAGCTCTTCCTTTTGAAGGTGACTTGAGGCTGCTTCTAAGTCAAACTCCTGTGGCAAGAATGTTGCCAACGGTCTCATTAGATTTGCCCGTCCCCCAATCCTGCAGCTGGCATTTGACTTCTGTATCCATTCACTACTGTGCCAAGTCCGGACAAGATCCACCCCCACCCCTGTCAAGGATAAAAGGATATACATGGAACCATACAGGATAGCTGAGTCCTACAGCCTGCCTACATTTCCGTCCTGGTCCCACGATCTGGTCCCCGAGACCCACCCGCTGTAACTCCTCTTCTGCCAGTGTTCATCTTCATCCATCCTGGCTTTCTAGTAGCTCGTCCCTGATCACACCCTCCCAATCAGTGCCATGGAAAAGGTGTAGCCCGGTGCTTGATCTATGTGTGTGTGCCTGTCTCTTCTGTGGGGTTGTTTTAAGACAGTGTCTAACCTACCTGGGCTGTCCTCAAACCTGCTAGTAGCTGAGGGGAGCCTTGAAATCCCAATTCTCCTGCCTCTGTCTCCCAAGTGCTGGAATTCCAGGCACGCGCCACCATCATCGTCTTCTATGGGATTACATCCCAGACACAGGTATTGCTTCCCTCTCCAACCCTGCTGCTGGCTCCAGCAGTCAGTTCTTATGGGGACAGAGTGGACTCTTACTCCTCCATGGAGGAATGGCTTAGGGAAGCAGCAAAGGGAACAGGCACATCTTTGGCTCAGGAAGCCTGCCTGTATGTAAGTGCTGCTTCTGGCCCTCAGTGAGTCCCAGGGAAGACAGGCCTGCTGTTCCTCTGCAGCCTGTGCCTAGGCAGTGTGTTGGCTGCCCTAGCTTCTCCGCACCCATTGCTTGGTACACGTGCAGCCTCAGACACACGTGGATCTGCCTTCCACTAAGGTGCTAGGGAGTTGGGAGGGGGTTACGTGGGACAAGCCGCGCACGCAGATAATGTTCAAGGTCCTGCTATTGCTATTCTGTGGAGAATTATGGCATTCAGAGGAAGGAGGGGGGAGTGTGGGCAGACTGGAACACTGAGGCATACAGCTGTTGCTGATGTCAGAGGCAGCCACTGACTCAGGGAGGGGATGTCGAATGACCTCCCCCAGGGCCAAGGCTTGCCTCTGTTCCTTTCTTGGCTGCATGACTATTTAACTCTTGCTGGTCCTCTGAGTGAAAAGGTCAAGAAAGGTCTGGGAATGTCCTCAGATCCTGGACATCTAAATCTGGTTTTCCCTTTTGATTAGAGCACAGCCTACATGGAAGGAGACCAGATGGACAGAGCAGGTAGGGAGAGGGGGCAAGGATTTGGAGGAGAAATGTGAACCCGATTAAATACTCAACCAGCCGATACTGAATGTCCCCTATGACTCTACAGTTATGATCCTATGAGTATGACCATACGATTCACAGGGACTCAAAGGGGAGGTATTTTAGCAGTACAGGAGGGACAAAGGAACGCCACACAGAAATGCCTCCCTAAATGCTGAGATTAATGGGTTCATCACTCCAGCCCAGTCTCCCTCCCTGCCTGCCCCTTGAGTTCTGGGATTAAAGGCCAGTGCTACCATGCCTGACTTTCTTAGGGGGTGGGAGCATGCTATTTCTTTTAAATTTTACTTTGTATTTGCCTTCAATGTATTTCTATGTACCATCTGTGTGCCAGGTGCTCATGGAATCCCAAAGAGTGCACCAGGTCCACTGGAATTGGAGTTAACAGTTGTGAACTGTTAACCATGTGGGTGCTAGGAACCAAACTGGAAAAAAGTAGCCACAGCTCTTAACCACTGAACCTGCGCCATCTCTCTAGGCCTTCTTTAAGACGCCTGGGGAGTTCGCTATGTTGTGGAGGCTGGTACTGCCTCCACTTCCCTGGTAATTAGAAGCTCCAGGTATACACCCACTTAGCTCAAAATATGCGTTGGATTCTAGGCCACTTGGTAAATGTTAAGACCTCCTGGACAGGAGTCTCTGGAGTGACGCCATGCAAGGTGAAGGGTGGACACTGCAGCTGTGAGCACAGGGCCCCATCTCCCTGGCTGACCCTTGCTTCTCCAGATGTGTCCTCAGATACTTTGACACAAATTCTTTACACCTGAGGCCTGTGGCCTACAGCTAAGGCAGTCCTAGGGAACATCTGTGTAATTCACCTGAGGCCTGTGGCCTACAGCTAAGGCAGTCCTGGGGAACATCTTCTGTGTAATTCTCTAACCTCCTGACTGACCTCACCTTTTGGCTCACTACCGGTCTCTGAAATGTCTGAGTCAACTTGAAATGACAACTGTATTTTCACCCATTTACCTGTCTTTCGTTTTTCAAGACAGGGTTTCCGTTTAATAGCCCTGGCTGTCCTGGAACTTGCTCTGTCAACCAGACTTGGCCTTGAACTCAGAGATCCTCCTGCGCCCTGGTGTGCACTGCCATCATCAGTCTGGCTTCAACAGCTTCCCAGTGAGACCTACTGTTCCAGGTGTCATGCAGATGCTGGGGCTACAAGACAGAGCAGACAGAAAACTCCACTCTGCTACATGATTTGGCTGAGACAGGGTCTATGTAGTCCTGGGACTCACTGTGTAACCAGGCTGGCCTCACACTCAGAGGTGCTCTTGTCTCCCACGTGCTGAGATTACAGGCATGTACCATCACCACCTGGCATCCACCCTGCACATTCTAAGCACTCTTACTGAGCTATATCCTCAGTCCAAGGACAACAATTTCTTCAAATGGTATCTACTGTAAAACCAACCAAAAAGGAAGAATTAACATCCAAATGGCCTACAGGTATCTGGGGCAGAATTTTTAAATACCTAAAACCATAAACTAAGTATATTTCATATTACAGTATAAAATAGTCCACAGCGATCTTATGGAAGACTCCCATTGTCAAAAGATTATAGAAAGGAAGTATCTCAGATAATTAAATTACTGAGAAGCATTTCAATGTGCCAACAAACCAGTTTTTATGCTGTTGCTTCATTCCTCATTCTGCCTGCTGTCTACTAATGACACTGCTTTTCAAGTGTCATCAGTTATACTTACTACACAATCATTTTCCAACAAAAAGTCCACACGGTGGTGTCAGTACTAAACAGCATTTGTGGTGTCATGATCTAAGCAAAAGATGACCAAAACTTAAGTGTAAAGGATTTGGAAACCTAGCTAAATTAACCAGACTGAGAACAGAGCACATTATGAAAACATTCTTTCTTATGAGAAATAGTTTAGGATAGTTGTGGGTAAAGCATGATTTAAGCTTTTTAAACAAGAGGTTTTTGTTGTAACTAGTTCCTTGAAAAATCGCTTCTTGAAACTTGATCAGATATAAACATGAAAATGTGAACGGGAAACCAACAAGACAGTATGAAAATATGTCTTCCAGCTGGGTGATGGTAGCACACACTTTTAATCCCAGCAATTGGGAGGTAGAGGCAGGCGGATCTCTGTGAGTTCCAGGCCAGCCTAGTCTACACGACCTAATTCCAGGACAGATAAGACTGTTACAGAGAGAAACCCTGTCTTCAAAAACCAAAAAGAAAGAAAGAAAGAAAGGAAAGAAAGAAAGAAGAAAAAGAAAAGATGTCTTCCCGAGCAGACAGCTTGGAACAGTGATGGCAGGGGACCTCATACTTGGACCTTCTGCAGCAGGGAACTGTCTTTTCACCAAAGGTAACTCTATTTTGTGAAATAATATGACACTAAGAGATTCATTCTTTATTTACAAGTAAAAGGGAAATATCTTTTGAAAAAAAATGTAAACTCTGAGATAAGAAAAGCAATACCGAGACGTGATTCTCAGCTCCACAAGCCACTGTTTCTCTAAACCACAAAGCAGGGCAATGGTGAAGCACACCTGTGATCCCACAAGCTGAGGTCAGCCTGGTCTACGTAGTGAGTTCAAGGTCAGCCAGGGCTACAGAATG